ATATGCATAGATATTTGTGTTTGTTCAAACAGATTTTTGATGACATCAAAATTTAAGGTGCAAACTCTAACCAAAAAAAGAAAAAATAAATAAATTTTATCCAACTAGTAAAGGATAAGTTGGAGTTAAGCTCTAGAAGAATTTATTGAACTCCAAAAGAATATTTAGAGATGACAACAATTACTAACAAGCTTGGAACCAAACTTCAAAATTGTTTGTGACTTTCAGGATGGAATGAATGATAGTTTGAATTTGCTTTGGCCAATGTTAAAATGTATAAATAGAGGTAAAAAACTCTCAAGTAATTGAGTGGTTTTTATCTATATTCATTAAAGGTGTTAGTGAGATGAGTTCGATCAAATTTGTCTCATTAATAAACTCGCAAGTTCAACCTATTGAGTCTCAAGCTGAGCACGAGAGCTCAAATTATCACTCATGTAATATATGAGCTCGAATTCAAGCTTGACAAGACTTAACTTGTTGGCTCACGAGCTAGCTTGTGAAATCTCATCTTCCTGGAAAAGTTAAACCATGACTCTTAGGCTTCATTTGGGACAGCTTTCTTATTGCTTCTTAAAGTAGCTTTTTAGTACAAAAAATAAAATTTTTGTACTAGAAAGCTACTTTAAGAAGCAGTAAGAAAGCCGTCCCAAACGAACCCTTAATGTCTTATTAATAGCTCAATTTAAAAAGCACTTAACTCAAATGTCATTCATGTTACCTCCAAACACTTACGAGCTCCATACTTGAAAATAAACCTTATTTGAATGCACATTCTATGTCGAGAAATTTATGAGATATATACATTTAATCTGTCTTTCATTGATTCTTGTGGCATACAGTATATTGATCAACTACAATCAATCATCTAATGTAATTTTGAGAGTGTCTTTTGAAGTCCATAATAGGTATTGCTCTCATTCCTAAATCCCAACTTACAAGCAACATCTTTGACTCTATGTACACATTCTAAAAAAGTATTGCCAAACTATTTGCTTTGAAGCTCAAGCACATTATGCCTCATATTTTAATTCCTATTTAGTAAGCTTCCTTTACAAAAGGATTGCTTCTGATAACATTGGTTTGGCTAGCGAATTTTTGGGTGAATTTCAAATGGTAAGGAAAATAATAGGTTTTGTGCAAAGCTGAGCATATTCAAATCCTTCGATAATAGCTAGAATGGTTTAAAAAGAGTTCCCCCATCATATTCATTGATTCGATCAAGGCTTGCATTGAACATGTACAATATTTTGTTTGTATTAATGGAACTCTTGAGGAGTTCTTTAATTCCCCTTTTCAGTTGAGACAATGTTGTACCATTTCTCATTATCTCTTTTATATTACGATGGGTGATCTTTCTAATCTATTTAAACATTAATTAAGAAAGAACTCATTTATTGGCATTCTTGTGGACAAAGATCATTTCTCTAATCTTCTCTATGTTGATGATGTACTGGTATTTGACAAAACAAATAATGAGAAATTTCTCACTCATAAAAAATATCGTGACTCACTTTGGGGGAACCTATCAAACATACACATCAATGATGCCAAAAGGTCTATCTTATTCTCTTTATGTAATATCCTGAATTAGCAATTGTCAATTTTGTAGACTAGAGTTTCGAAGGAGACGAACATGATGAGCTATGAGGAGGCAAAGGATTCAAAAGCAAGGGAGATGAAAGGGTTGCATTGTCACAACCCAAGGCAACATAACCCTTATTGGTCGAGTCGCATTACATCGGATATGTGATAGACTAAGTGCCCAAGACCTACTTGGAAGAATTTTTCTTATTATTTTTTTATTATTTCTTCAATATTTACACTATAGAGGCACTCTAAAATCATCAAACATAAATAATAAGAACATCTACAACGTTTGATTTCAATGAACTATACAATTAAAAGAATAATATGCATACATATATCATAGTTTCATTTCTATTTCACTCAAAACACAAAATAACCCATGACAGACAAAAGCATAAAACTCCCAAAGCACATATAAGAAAACACAAACTTAACCATAATCAATAGTAATATCTAGTGAAGTGGCACACAGTTATTGTGATAACCCGAATTTTTAAAATGATTTTTTATTGAAAAAATCTAAATTTCAGGGTCGTGACTTGTCGAAAAAGGAAGAAAAGGACAGATATGAGAAAAAAAAAAGAGAAAAGCTGATTTTAGTCGCTGGATCGCTTTGCCGTTTTTGTGGAACTTGCTCCAATTGTGATGGTGACTCTGTCCCTACTTCTATTTTCAAATATTTTGATTTCAACAGTTTGATTCTCCCTAGAATTGATTTTATTATATTTTTCCTGTATTTATTGAACTTATACTATATAACTTTTTATATGATATCGTATTGATTAATATGGAGATTTTGATTGTAACATTTCTAAATTCACTGGATAAAATATAAGTTATTGAATTTTGTATGATTTTTCCTGAGTAGAAGTTTGAATTTTTTATTTAAGCATACTATTAATACAAGTATTAATTGAGAATGAATATAGATATGTGGTTGAGTAATACATGGTCATTATTATTGTTAAAAAATGTGATATTATATCTGTGAAAATTAAGTAAAAGTTTGGTTTCATTGACGTTGGCTAGAGACTGACTGATTTGTACATGATAATGGGCCTACAGGTTTTTCTTTAAATTATGATTTAGTATTATCCTCGATAGATTCATATGATACTGATTGGGAGATATAACGAGTTATTACTGTACCGATGGGCAAAGTGTGACAACTATATTTACTGAATCAATTGCGGTCTGAGTATTCTTGCTCTTTCTATTTTAACATATTCCTATAACTATTCTCTCATTTAGCACATCTTAATTTCATATAACCTTCTTACCAATTGGTGGAAAAATTAATACATCTCTATCTGAAAATAACACCCCTTCATGAAAAAATCTCAAACTATTGGCTGAAACTGTAAATTGCAACATTTCGTTTTGCATCTCTAATAGCAGTAAATATCAAAATCCTTAAGTTATATGTGAGTTGTTGGATGGTCCTAAAAATCATTAATAACATCAACCTATGCCTTCCTCCTTCCATTTCTCCTCATATCCGTTGTATCATTTTTATTGTACATATCTCTACTACCACTGAGTGCATTAAACGGTTTGGGCTAGGAAAGCCTACTTTTTAGAACTTTATTGATCATTTCTATGTGAATTTGCATTAAACTATATGAAGCAAATTTATATGGCATAAGAATTATGCATTGAGGTTTTCGATTTTTGATTGGTTAACATCAATTGGGGGTTTCTAACCGTCGACGCTGTTACTTGCGGGAATTTTTATTGCGTCCTCCCACCTGACGTAGAGCTACATCAAGTAGCCTATGATATGTCGCCACGTGTTTTTACTCTTGACCGCGCGGCCCGACGACCCGACCCGTAGCGGACCCGGGAGTTTGCGTAGCTCGGTATTACTAGGTATTGGTCGATTTTGCTCGACAAAAATGAAAAATACTATTATGTGACGACCAATACTGAGAAATACCGAGCAATACCGAGTTCTTTTAGGTATTACTCGGTATTGCTCGATATTGCTCGGTATTGGTCTTCATAGAGCGATATTTCTTGTTATTGTCAAGCAATACCGAGTAATACCGAGCAAATACCGAGCAATACGCGAACATAGTAATCCCGGATTCGATCCGAGTCGGGTCGTCGGGCCGCGCGGTAAAAAGTAAGTGCACGTGGTGACATATCATAGGCTACCTAATGTAGCTCTACGTCAGGTGGAAAGACGCAATAAAAATTCTACTTGCGGAGGCTTTCTTATTCAAGCTAGTCACAATTTTTGCAATGAAAATATAGAAAATGTTAATCACATTTTGTTTGGATGCGGTTATATATTTGAGATTTTATGCTCTATGCTTTTGTGCTCCTCTATGTTCTTAGCAGGATTGAATCTACTCTAATTTTTTTGTTACATTTCAAATTTGAATGAGACATCATTAATTGTTGAGAACTTATATTATCTTTCTATTTGTTGCTTTAATTACTATATTCACAGGAAAAGACACTATAAAATATGAGAATGTCATTGACAACCAATTAATAATATGAGCTATAAATCTCGATCTAAACATTAGGAAGTGGAGGAAATATTAAGATATCACATTTTTGCTATGACTAATGAAAGTATAGTCTGGCTTATGATGAATGTGCTCCATATTCTTGTCTATTATGACTTTGTATTTTTTGTTTTCTCATTGAAGCCGTTTTGGAATGGGCGAAAATTTTAACATTCTCAATTCAATTTTATATTTTTTCTCTTTAGTATTTTTTTTTCAATGTATGAGTTCTGTGATTAGGGAACTTTTATTTGGTCCGGTCACAGGACGTAGCTCTACGTTCGGCCGCTAGTAGAATCGCGTCACGCGTTCTCACTATTTACCGTACGCCCCGATAACCCGACCCGAAACGGACCCAGGATGGCTCGGTATTTCTCGATTTTGCTAGGTATTGCTCGGTATTGCTAGGTATTGGTCGATTTTGCTCGGCAATAACCAATACCGAGCAAATACCGAGCAAATACCAAGCAATACCGAGCAAATACCGAGTAATACCTAGCAATACCGAGTTGTACCGAGTTTTTCTAGAAAAACTCGGTACAACTCGGTATTGCTCGGTATTACTCGGTATTGGTCTTCACAGAGTGGTATTTCTTGTTATTGTCAAGCAATACCTAGCAATATCGAGTAATACCGAGTAATACCTCTCAATACGCGAACATAGCATTCCGGGGTTCCGATCCGGGTCAAGTCGTCGGACCGCGCGGTAAAGAGTAAGAGCATGTGACGACATGTTATTGGCGGCCGAACGTAGCTCTACGTCCGGTCAGAAGGCGTAATAATTGTTCATGATTAGGACATTTATCAGCCTGTAAGAATTAATGAAACGGGCTTACGCACTCTTAAAAAAAAAAGGAAAAATTCTCAGAAAAAACTTGCATTTTGAAGACCAGCGAAGCAAATAACAATATTTTCCCGAACTATCCGTTTCTGGCGGGTTAGGTTTCCTTCGGGCATGGGTGGAAGGAGAGGTTTGTGGCGCTTCACCGAAAGAATAGAGAGACGGCGTCCACGCTTCAGATACCCTAAAAAAGGGAGAAATAATCGTATTAAATAATGATTCACTTTAGTCCTTCATTAATTCATCTGAAAGAGAGAGAGATATAGAGAGAGAGAGAGAGAAAGAGAGAGGAGGCTGGAGGAGGATATGATCATCTGAGGTATTTTCTTCGGATTTCTTGTTCCGCACTTCTTCCTCCCTTTTATCTATCATCTTGCTTAACTTCTGGTTTTCCTTGATTTTAGTGCTGCGGGTTTAGGGTATGGGAAATAAATGCTGGATCAGCTTAGGAATTAAATCTTCTTAAGAAATCTGTTTTGAGTATTTTTTTCCTGGATTTTGGAGGAGTTTGCTAGCTTGTGATGCGATTCCACGTTTTATTTGATGGACTGTGTTGATGTATTTCATCGCTTTTGGCGAATTGTTTGATGTTTGTCGTGACCTGCTTTGTTTTGTTTTTCTTTTGTGTGGTGATGACGAATTTGCGGAGCTCATGTTAGCGAGATGGTATAAATCAGTTGTTGTATATACACCAGTTTATAATAGGATGGTACTGGCATGAGAGTTGTTTTATAAGACCGAGCTTTTATTCAATCCGTTTGTAATGCTTTGTAGTTATTTTTGAGAAAGGAGATAGAATGTTTGATTGGCTTGCTAATGAAAGCGCTGATGATGGCTGGTGGAGTTTCTGAGGTTTTTGTTTGTTCTCGTAATTAGCTGATTAGGGTTTTGACCCATTTTATTATCTTTGGTCATTGAATTTATCTACAGAAGCGCGCTTTTCCCCTTGACATAATCGTATTCCCTCCCCTTACCTTACTTGGGAGTCTTAGGAGTTATGAAACGTAAAATGTCACTGCCAAACAAGAGTTAATTGTTGAGAAATTGCTGAAGTTTTTTGTTTTTTCGCCAAGCTAATATTCAGTTTTGAATATGATTTGAACCAAATGCTTTGGATTCGAGACATGTTGGCATGCATTTTTACATATGCGAGTGAACACATGCTAATGTTACAAAGCCTAAAACTTTTGCCTGAAACATACAAAATAAATCTTGGTTTTTTGTTTTATTTTGTTTTTTTTAAATATCTGTCAGCTTTAAAATATTACATCTAATTCATTATTGTATAATTTTTTAATTTGTTAATCCTCCTCATTTGAATTTTATGCAATTCTGCAGCAATTTGGAGATCTGTTAGTTTGTTGTTCATCTCTGCATCATCTTATAGAGCATTGTTCCTTTTGTCATCTTTTATCATGAGCTCAGCAGTCTCCACTTCTAGAGGAATACATCTGCCATCGAATTTTGGTTCTTTGGGGTCACAAAATCCACAAACACCATCAACTTCTTTGGGGCAACTTGAAATGGATCCACATGAAGCTGAGGAAATTGAGCTACTATCAGTATCTTGGAACCAAGATTATGGGTGTTTTGCTGCTGGCACAAGCCATGGCTTTCGAATTTACAACTGTGAGCCATTTAAGGAAACTTTTAGAAGGGATCTGAAAAGTGGTGGCTTTGGAATAGTGGAAATGCTTTTTAGATGCAATATTTTGGCTCTTGTTGGCGGTGGTGCGAACTCGCAATATCCGCCCAACAAAGTTCTAATATGGGATGATCATCAGGGTCGTTGCATTGGTGAATTTGCCTTCAGATCTGATGTTCGTGGTGTAAGATTGAGACGAGATCGCATTGTAGTGGTTCTTGAACATAAGATATATGTGTATAACTTGACCGATTTGAAACTTCTCCACCAAATAGAGACATTAGCCAATCCAAAGGGACTTTGCTGTCTTTCACACCATTCAAGTACCTCTGTTTTGGCATGCCCAGGTCTACACCAAGGACAAGTTCGGGTTGAACACTTTGGTCTAAAGATGACAAAGTTCATCAATGCGCATGATTCACATATTTCTTGTTTCAGCTTGACTTTGGATGGCTTCCTTCTTGCAACTACAAGTGTGAAAGGGACATTGGTGAGGATTTTTAACACAATGGATGGAACACGCTTACAAGAGGTAAGTGATCCAAATATGCATATTGAACTTTGTATGTAGGTGCCATGCTTTCATTCCTATGGTTCATTATGAGTAATTAGATTCTAACAGAAAAACCTACAATGGCTGCTGCACTGTAGGCTAGTTCACTTGTTAGCATCGTATGCTTGTACTTTCAATTTTGTCAATTATAGGTTCCTTTGATTAGATATTATCCTTGTTCAAGAAATATTAGATCTTAAGATATGATATATCAATCTTACTCATATCGACAGAAGAATAGATATTAAAACAGCTCGAAACAACTTATCATTTCATATGCTAGTGTATGTACTATATGTACATTAGGAGGATGTAAATAAACCAAACAACTAATCAATTAGTGGAAAGATCTTATTCAAAATCCCTTTTTACCTAAAATTTAGAATTTTGTTTAAAAAGGTCGAGGGAGTGAGAATGGCACCCTCCCAACCCCCCTAGCATGTGTGTTGGGTTTCATTCTCTTAGATTGTGTAGCTTAGAATTTCATTATCATAGTAGTGCATAAATTATAATTTAATAAGAATACAATCAGATTGATTATGTTATATGATTTTGAGTCTTTTTGATATTAAAAAAGATATTGATGACTAAGTGTAGTATGACATAAATGAGAGCATTGAAATTTGGTTTGGAAAAATAAGGGTAGATTGAGAAGTGGCTATATTAAAGATATAGTAGGAGTAGAAGATAAGATAGTGAAAAATGAACTTAGGTGGTTTGGACATGCAATGGAGAGTAGAATGAGATGGGTGGTTGGAGTTAGTGTTGAAGGATTATGAAGAGAAAAAGGGGGCATAACAAGGATCTTATGCTATGGATAGAATTTATAGTAAAATATTTAAATTAATTACGATAACAACTTCTGTAATACTCAATATTTATTGATGGAGAATGAGAATTCATAATGCCAACTCCAAGTAGTAGGGGTAAGACTGATATGGTGTCAATGTGATAAAATAAGAATGTTAAGATAGATGTGTGATAAAATTATAAAGTATATGGTGATAAATAAAAATAATTGTATTGAAAGAATAGTTGGTACAATAATTATTGAAGACAAGATATTTGAAAATTTAAATGTTTTGGGCAATGGTAATTGGGGGTAAGAAGATGCTCTGATAAGATGGATAGATAGAATTACTTGGGAAGATTAGGAAGAAAAGATTGTAGGCCAAAAGTAGTTATGCTACATATTGTGGTTAAAGATATATAGAGTTAATTATGTAGTACCTAACCGATAAGGATGGTAGATACAACTACTCTTGGAAGATTTAGGGAGAAAAGATGGTAAACCAAAATTAGTTAGGCTATAGATCATGGAAAAATATTTGTAGAGTTAACATTTATGTGGCACTCAATATGAATGTATGGTGGAGGATTTACAAAGCCCAATCCAAATAGTTGAGATATGGTTAATGATGTTGATGGTGATATTTTATCCACTAAAGGTAGAGTGAAAGTTAAAGGGTGTAAATATTTTTTTGTTATAGCTTTTGGTTGTCATCTGTCTTTTTTTTGGTTCAGGTGTCTGGATTCTCTTATTTTCATGTAGGACAGTATAAGCGAAACATATAAATTTTCAAGCAATCAGGATGAATTAATGGTATACAATGATAGAATTTAGCTAAATGAAATGCCTGATCAGATGGTTGAGGAATGAAATTTGGTTTATAAAGATTGCGCTTTGTTTTTATGCTTACAGCTGATTGCGTTTTTTAGGCTTACTGGCTGACAGTTAAACATCCTCAACCTGTTATTTCAAGGACCTCAAGATTGAGCAAGTTGTTTTTTGTGGTCGTTAGTATTTTTTCCATATTCCAAAATGTAGAATAAACATACTACATTCTTAGCTTATAAAATGAGTTCTTTGTGCGCTTATTTTTAAATTGTATGATGATTTTGGAATGAGTTCTAAATCGTAATATGGATGTGGCAAAAACCTTAAGCTCCAGGTCAACCAGATCTCCTTATTTTGCCCAATGAATCGTGCTGTACACGAGCATTCATTTTTGGTTGCGTTGGAGTTGCTGTATGTGATATCTTTCCACTCCTTTTTGCTTACCTGCTATTAACTTGAAGTGGTGTAACATTTCATTTGTTTCAATTTTCGAGTACCAATTTTTTATTTTTCTGTTTGCATTTTCAACCTGTAAATGGCTTCCTTTTGTTCTCATAATATACTTTTTTATGACTATATAATATCTAATAAAAAATGTTTCTGTAGGTGAGAAGGGGTGCAGATAGAGCAGAAATATACAGTATTGCTCTCTCTCCAAATGTGCAATGGTTGGCAATATCTAGTGACAAGGGCACTGTGCATATATTCAACCTTAGGGTTCGAGTGGTAGGAGAAGATGCACCTATTCTACCTTCAGGTCAAGGACCTGCTTTGCTGCATCAAAACTCTGCAACTTCACTTGATGCATTGATATCTCCAAATACTGGCGCTAACCCAAGCTCTTCGTTATCATTTATGAAAGGTAAAAAAAGATATAATACTCTGATTAGCTCAATGACCCGCATTGTTGTTGAAAATTCCTACCTATGTAATTTTATCTTGGTTGCCTTTTCATTAGTTACAGCTGAATAATCGATATGCGCCTAACAACCCTGTTTTATTAAGCTTCCTAAAAGCACTTGGTTAAAACCCAACTTTCCTAAAACGTTAGGAATGAAGTTCTGATATGCACGTTTCAAAGATTAGTTGTATTTTACAGACTTCCTCTTGCAGTTACATGAATTGTCATCTCCTATTTTAGGCTTCAATTTTAAATTTTAATTCCTCTATGCATCGCTTATCTTCATAGTCCTGGGTTTTGTGTTGCTTTTAAGCCATAATTCCTACCTGTGATGGAGGATGATTTGGGACTAGGTTCACTAATACAATTAATATGACATGTACAATTTTTTTTGTAAAAGAAATGTAGGATTCGCGTATCACTAACAATCAATTACTTCAACAATTCACTTTCTGTAATTGAAAGCAAGCGATACTAGGGTTTAACCCAATTGATAATAAAATAATTAAAAATACCCTAGAATTTTAGCAAGTATTTGGAAACAAATAGAATCAACAAGCGAAACCATTTAATTTCCACAAATTAGATTTCTAATGTAACTTTTTGATTGAAATTAAGAGCATTAATCAAACCAACAACAAATTATGCAAATGAACTAGACAAGCAACGAATTTAGCAATGCAAGAAAAATTGAACTATACATTGGCATCAGAAGTTGACTTCCCTTGAATTTGCAATTCTACCTACCTCAATAAATCATACATTAAACTTGCAATGGAAAATTTTGAACATGAAAGAAAAAAATTATTCAAGCCAAAAGCTATAAATAACATGTCCTAGGGTGGTAGTTTATTCCGAAAAAAAATAAAGTTTTTGAAAGTTGTTGCAGGAATTATAGATTTTTCCTCAAAAAAAGCACCAATAATTTTCTTATAGCAGCCACATTTCAACAGATCTGGCTGTGAAAAGCTTCATGCCACAAAATTTTTAGAAAAACAGCAAGATAGTTGTAGGCAAACATAAGTGTGTAATGATCTGTAAAGTTAAGTTATGAAAAAGTTGTATCAAACATACTAAGTATTTGATACCAAGTTTATGTGGGATAGGTCAACAATGTCAACATTAGTTTTCCTAATGTAATTATCATGACACATAGGGTTTTCATGCAAAGTTAAGTAGAGGATTAATAGATAAACAATAATTAAGGGGGGTAAAGAAGTCGAGCTTGAGCGAGGTTGTTGTGTGTTTGTGCTCTACTCATTTTAATTTTGTTTTTTTGAAATTGGCTCATGTTTAACAATGTCTGTGAACATCATGTTCATCTTCCACTCGTTTTATTCTAGCAGAGTATGATAAAATCATTCTACTTATTAATTAATTAATTAATTTTAAAAAGTATGGCGCAAAAAATGAGCCGAACATGATCAACATGGCTTTTTGTGTTTCAGTATGAACTCATTTACTTAATGGATAAATCGAACATGAGCTGTTCGCGACCAACAAGGTTTTTTGATATCCCTTCTAATAACTAATTCCTTCAATAACTCATGCAATTGAACGAAAATTATTGATGCTAGAGTATGACCCTACTTGATAATGAAACGATTTAGAATATTCAAAAGCACTAGCAAGAATTTGAAAACAGATAAAATAAGTGAACAAAGCAAATTAAATTGCACAAATCATATAACTTGCGGTCATAAGATTGAAAGTAGGAAGTGAAAATTCTATTCCATTAAAAATATACGAATTACATGCCTTAGACTACTATTTTAGGCTAGTGGACAAGGTTGGCATATGATTGATTCTAATTTAAATTTAAAATAGTTCCACCAGATAAAAATATTCTTAATTTTAATCTAAAATCGTAACAGTCTAAGAACATTTAAAATTGAGTTTTCCAAACCAACCACGCATACCCCCAATCGCTTAAATTCAAGTGAAAGGGACTGCCAGAACTTATATAAGCTGCCAGAAGACTTATAACAGCACTATTTCATTTAATTCTACCAAGGGTAAAGCTAAAATTGAAACGAGGATAAGGCCAAACAACATTGCCTTCTTCATCAAAGAACTTAGTATAAGTCAGAATATCAACATAAATCCTGTTGTACAAATTGCAACCATGAACTGCCATAGAACAATCGAAAGCATTCCACCATTTTTCAAAATATAGCATATTTCCTTTTTTTTTAAAATGAATATTGCCATATTCCTCCATTGAATTCTAATCCTATCCAAATTCCACCACTTAATTGTTAGCGCAAACTAAAATCATGTTGTTTTATAAAACCATAATTCTAATGTAATGCTAAATGCATCATAGTGGTTAAATCTGATTTTTATCCAGATGTTTAAGCTTGAGGTCACGATTCAACAACATACCCCTCATGTGATAGTTATCCATATTAGTCATCACTCTCACTCAAACAAAATTTTTTAAGATCAAATATCAAGAGCTCACTCAATCACATGGACTTGCATGAGATCCACCCCCCATGAACTTTGATCAATCATGTTAGAAGCAATGAAGACCCATGATAGCCACAAATTACTTGACCACTCTATTTTAGCCAGGCCATCGGCACTGATACAAATGGTCAAGGAGATTGGACTGAAGGGGATCATAAGTTGGGTTTGATGGACTAGAGATCAAATTTGATTTTAACCCAAACAATTTTAGCCTATATATGCGGATTAGCCACTTGTTACTTCTACTCTAACATATTTTTCACACATACGGCGTGAAATTAAATAGTTTGTGTCCATGCGTCTTAACAATTTATATTAGACTTTAAATTATTTAAAGCAAGATTTAGTATTCGAAGGGAGAAATGGAAAACACTGAAGTTGAAATATTGTTATAATCAATCATTCTGGAAAGCAGTAGCTTTTTTCTTATTAGCACTGCATACTTGTTTTTCTGATACTGTAATTTTTCAGGGGTTTTACCCAAGTATTTCAGTTCCGAGTGGTCATTTGCTCAATTTCGCTTGCCAGAAGTTACACGATATTTTGCAGCATTTGGGTCTGAAAACACCGTAATGATTGTTGGTATGGATGGCAGGTACCAATCTATTCCAACTTATATTTTGATGAGAAGATATTCTATTATATAACTAGTGTTGCTTAAATGGCTAGCCTATTAAACCTGTCGTTGCTTTCCTATCTTTTTGTTATTGTTTTTCTAAGTAGAAGGGAAAAATAAAACTCTTTTAACGGTCAATACCGTAGGATGAAAATTAGTACCAAACAATTGCCAACTTTTTCTGAATCATTAACATCCCCGAATCTTGATGATTCTTTTCAATGTTTTATTTGTGAAATTTACAGCATGTAAAATTGAAATTCTTTAATCATGGGAAATGCGATTAATGTTTGATTTGTTCAACTGCTGAATCTTTGTTCATTTTTGTTGGTAAAGTAGCGGCTCTATTTCAGTTTCTTGTCGCTGTTTTGTTGCTAATTCATTGTAACTTTTTAAGTTGGCCTATTGTAATTTGAATGCCATCTCCCTGGTTTACCTTTGCAAATCTGATTTTAATGATCCCATATCTCTTCATTTTTCAATTTGAGAAGGTTTCTACAGTCTAAGTGCAGTTCCTTTCTGTTCATGATTGCTGATTTGAGGAGATTTGGCTGTTTTGTTTTCTCCTATTCCCGTTTTGGTACTCTAGCTGGACTTCCACTGTGGCGTTGTATCATCGGTGGCGCTGATTTTGACTTATGCAAACCATGCCTTATTTTCTTTGCAAATGTTTTCTCTCGTTGCTGCTCCCGTATCTGCACTATAGTTGAAGATCAGGTACCGTATTTTCCTTTTATATGAGATTTTATCCCTTAGCAGAAGCCCGACCAAAGATGGGAAAATCACCATTTTTGAATTTGGGAGGATGGGAAACTTTCAGTTTTGATATTTTATGCCATATTTTGTAAAACTATGAAGGGTCTAATTTTGATTATACATAGGTATCTAGTGAGAGAATTACCGAAGAAGAAGAAGTAGAGAGGTAACGAGCCAGAGAATAGAAAACTGGATATTATTTTCATCAATGAAATGAACAGGAAAAGCCCATAAATAGGCTGAACGAAGGTAGAGACGTAAATACAAATAAAAGGGAAAATAACTAATTTAAATAATATCTGCTAATAGCCTCCCGCAAATTAAGCATTCGGAGTTTGAATGTTTAATTTGTTTCGAAGATCTAGGAATCGAGTAATCGAGAAGGGTTTGGTTAAAATATCAGCAATTTGGTCTTTGGAAGAGATGTGTTCGAGCTTGATGTTGCCGGAGCCAATTTGCTAACGAATAAAGTGGTAGTCGATCTCGATGTGTTTGGTTCGTGCATGAAACACTGGGTTCTTGGCGATGGCCATGGCCGAAGTGTTGTCACAATGAATAGTGGTCGGTGAGAGCTGCGGAAGCTGGAGTTCGGAGGCAAGACGGCGAAGCCAGACGACTTCGGAGGCGGCTGCGGAGAGAGACCGGTACTCGGCTTCTGTGGAAGAATTAGCTACCGTCGCCTGCTTTTTAACTGTCCAGGAGATGAGATTGGGGCCTAGAAATGTACAGAAGCCGGAGACGGACTTCCGATCGGTAGTGTCAGACGCCCAGTCGGCATCCGAATAGGTTCGAAGATCTAAGGAACCCATTGTGATCGGTAAACCAAATGATAGAGTTCCTTTGACGTAACGAAGAAGTCTTTTGAGAGCCTTGAAATCTTGTTCGGTGGGAGATTGCATGTGCTGACAGACCCTGTTGGTTGCAAAGGCAATATCCGGTCTAGTGATAGATAGATACTGGAGAGATCCAGCCAGTCGGCGGTAGAGTGATGGATCCAGAAATGGGTTCCGGTTGGGTTCTTTCTGCTTCTTGATCGGCATGATTGGGGTTGGTGCGGCTTTGCAATCTTTAAAACCTGAATCATTTAGCAGTTGAGAAGCATAATGTTCTTGAGATAAAAAGTATCCGGAGTTGGAACGAGTCACCTGAATACCGAGAAAGAGCGAAATGTTGCCAAGCTGTTTGAGAGCAAATTGATTTTGGAGTTGTTGGAGAAGTTGCCAAATTGCATGCTCATCGTTTCCTGTCACTAAGAAGTCATCGACGTAAATAAGTAAGTACATGTGAATATTGTTGCGATGGAAAATAAGAAGAGAGGGATCGGAGCGACTAAACCCGAAGCCAAGTTATTGTAAAAAGCTGGTAAGTTTCTGAAACCATTGACGCGGTGCTTGTTTGAGCCCGTAAAGGGATTTGTGGAGCTTGCACACGGCATGGGGTTGGGCGGGATCGGTGAATCCGAGCGGCTGACGCATGAAAATGTCGTCGGGGAGATCTCCATGAAGAAAGGCGTTTGCAATGTCCAATTGATACATAGGCCATTGCCGATGAAGTGAGAGTGCAAGAAGAAGACGTATTGTAGGCATCTTGGCAACCGGGCTGAACGTTTCTGTGTAGTTGATCCCGAACTGTTGATCGTAGCCAAGAGCGACGAGACGTGCTTTGTAATGCTCGATTTGGCCATTAGGAAGACGCTTGATTTTATAGGCCCATTTACAGCCTAGTACCGGTTTGTTCGGGGGAGGAGATACTAGAGTCCAGGTTGATTGCCTTTGAAGAGCATCGAATTCCGCTTGCATTGTTGTCCGCCAATGTGGAGACTTGAGAGCATGGATGTAAGTGGTGGGTGTGGTTTGCGGATTGACCCGGGCAAGAAGATTAAACACAGATTTTGGTTTAAGGATCCCTGATTTAAGCCGGGTTTGCATGTGGTGAGCTGGTGCAGCGGGACGAATGGGAGATTGAGACTGCTGAGGGTGTTCAGAAGGAGATTGAGTGATGTTCGAGAGAGTAGGATTAGAGTTCTGAGCGGGGAAATCAGTGGTGGTTTGGGAAGCAGAGATGCAAGGATGCGTGGAAGGTTGAGGTAGGGTGGACGTGGGGATGAGAAGTAGAGGAGAAGTGGGTGAGTTGTTGACAGTGGAAGCAGTAGGAACCGAGCTAGACGTTAGTTTATGCGGGAAAGTTTGCTCATAGAAAATAACATGCCTGGATGTGTAGATGTGATCAGTCAAGGTGTTGTGGCATATGTAACCTTTGTGGTGAGATGAATAGCCAATGAAGACACACGGCGAGGATCTAGGAGCAAATTTGTCTTTGGAATACAGTTGCAACCACGGATAGCACAAGCAACCAAACGTTCGTAGGTGAGAGTAAGAAGGCGGGATACCTCGGAGGAGCTGAAACAGAATTTGATTTGATACAGATTTGGACGGTAGAAGGTTAATTAGGTGATTGGCCGTGGACAGGGCATACGACCAGAATTTGGGCGGTAAGGCAGATTCAAGAAGAAGAGCGCGTGTAAGATCCAACAGGTGACGGTGTTTCCGTTCAGCGATTCCGTTTTGCTCCGGAGTGTGAGGATAAGGGAGATGATGAATAATTCCATTTTCTTGTAAGTAGAGGTGGAACTCACGACTGGTGTATTCGCCTCCGCTGTCGGAGCGAAGAATTTTAGGAATTTTGTTAAATTGAGTTTTAGTATAATTGCAAAAGTTTTTAAATTGGATGAGGACCTCACTTTTGGTGTAAAGAAGATACATCCACGAAAAACGGGTGTAGTCGTCGATAAAGGTAACGTAATAACGATGACCGTCCAGTGAAGGATGCGGGGCAGGACCCCAAACATCCGTGTGCACAATTTCGAAAGGAGCTTTGGAAATGGATCTATTATTATTAAAAGCAAGTTTGTGGCTCTTGGCCTGGTTACAAGAATCACACATGAATGAGTTAGGTACATTAAGAATTTCAGGAAACAATCTAGACAGAACATTGTGGGTGTCTCTATTCGGATGTCCAAGGCGAGAGTGCCAAGTCTTTGAAGCTGTAGTGGTGGCTGTAAGAGCCGCATGGGGGATGGCCGGAGCAGTGCGTATGTGATAAAGTCCATTAAGAAGTTGTCCATGAAGCAGCGGATGATGGTCCCGAGAGTCCTTGATAACGAAACCGTTAGCATTAAAAGAAATTGTAACAAAATTGTCTGAAGTAAGTTTTGAAACAGATAACAAGTTATGCGTGAGAGAAGGAACATGAAGTAAATTGTTGAGTTTTAACTTACGAGCCGTATCCGGTAAGGGAAGAAGACCTTGACCTGTGTTAGTGATGGGTAGAGTGTTACCATTGGCCGTCGAGACAGTGTCCAAGCCCTGATAGGAAGTCGGATAGTAGAGTTGATTCGCATCTGGTGTCAGATGGGTGGAGGCGTCGGAGTCAAGAATCCAATCTTGACTGACCGGAGCCACTAGATTGGCGAGGAGGGCGCGGGGTTGTCTCATGTCTGTGGGCGCATACTTAGGATTGTTGCGGTGCCAACAATTAAGTGCGACGTGGCCAAGCTTACCACAAATCTGACATGTAGGCCATGCCGATTGCGGTGGATTGGGATAGTTGGGCGGAGGAACGGGTGTCGGTGTAGAGGGAAATTGGTTCTTGGGTTTGTTGTAGCGGCGATTGTTACCGTTGCGAGTGCGTGAGGAGTTGGATGATGCAGCATAAAGTGCCGTAGGAGAGGCGTTGCCGGAAGAATCTTGCAGAGTTTCTTGATGAAGATGAATCTCTTCATTGCATAGAAGAGCATAGAACGTATCAAGATCGATTGGTAAGAGGGAATTGCGGATGGTTGATTTGAACGAGTTATATGTCGACGGCAAGCCATTGAGGATGTGAAGCATGACATCTTCTGATTCAATCTTGGATCCGGACGCAGAGATGTTATCCACGAGCGTTTTGATGTGCGTAAGGTACTGTTGAACCGAGAGATCCTTCATTTGGGAGCGGTAGAGCTCGTTCTTGAGCTGAATCACGCGGGAGCGGCTTGTAGGTTGAAGACGTCGTTCAAGAACCGTCCAGGCTTCATGGGCGGTGGTGGACGTGAGAATATACGGTAGGATGGTTTGAGAAACCGTAGCAAAAATGGCAGCAAGAAGATTGCTGTCTATGAGCAGCCATTGTGCGTAGTCGGTCGAGGTAACATCGGACGGAGCTGGTACGGTGCCAAGAAGATG